GAACACGTACGAGGAGCCCATGGTGTCCTCTCCCGCCCTCCTGTCCACCATTGATGGCCACAACATTAATTAGCATCACGTAACCCATGATTGCCCGGGTGTTAGGTTCCTATGATGAACGTGACGGTCAGCCATTCCTTAAAGTTGAGGGTCATCAATCCATAGCCCGCATCATCCAAGAATTTTTCCCTGGGGCCCATGGTGATCCTAACTTCATGTGCCTGCATCAGAGCAAACTGCCTAGCCGCTTATTATTCCTTGACTCGGTGTTGTATAAGAATTTCCTTCCACTTGGGCACATTGCTACCACTATGGTTACCGGGTACACCTTCAGCATGTGATCTGGGTGCACATACAAAAATTTATGCGGGAGGCCGTTTAGCCTCAACCTATGCAGAACACGACTTGGCCCCTACCCTTTGCCATCCTACTCGCGCTAATCTTCCAACTGAACGACCTTCCGATTGATCCGGCTAAAGAGATCGACACTGCCTACCCTATTTTCGGCCAACGAGAATGCCAGCATAGCTTATCCCAGATACCACTACAGGGTGGTGTCTTGGTTGCTCAGGCTGATGATCCCATACATGGCCAACATCCTCTTGTCCCTCTCATGCCTCTCCTAGGGGAGCCCATGTACATGACTCAAGAGGAGTACATGCATCTTCAACACTCTATGGACCAGGTCCACATTACTCTTCAGGATCACCACCCGCTTCTCATGGGATTGCACACAGGCTTTCAGACGCATAGGGATTATTCCCAGGCTACATTCGACCACCTTAATGCCCGCCAGCTCGACTATCAGCAGTCAGTTGCATCCTTGCAAATTAACTTGTATACATATCAAGAGTCGAGCCAGTGTCGTTTTGACCAACTCGACGCTTGGGTTCATGACAAAGCGTTCGAGATGCAGTCATTGATGCACACCTTGTTTGAGCAGCATTTCCCACCATCGCCACCGTCGGATTCTCAGTAGTCACTTACTATCTTTTGCTTTATTTTCTTCATTTATTTATTTATTTTTTATTTATTTTTTTTTAAAAAACAATGTGTTCATATCTGCCTAGCTGGAAAGGTGCACCTACATTGTTTGGTAATATTCTTTCTCTTTCTAATTTACTTCGCGTTTGTTTCCATTGTGGACAATGTCATGTACAAGTTGAAGGACAAGGGTATTTTCTTCTATGTACTTCTACTTGGCTCCTAACTCATAATTCATGTTTATACCTGCTTCACTTAATTACACTACTTCACTTGATGTTGGCTTGTTGCTAATAACGTCGTTTATAAGCATATGTTATGTGGGGAACATTTATTGGATAAATACTCGGATGTGATGTTTACACTAGGATAGTTGCTTGTGGGGAACATTTATGTGGGGAACATTTATTCGAACCATGCCTTGTTGCCTTGCTCTAGAGGGAAACAGAGGTCTTGGAGACTACTTTTCTGGTCGTAGACCACTTTTCCCTCACAGACCACTTTTGGTGCCTGTAGACTAGTTTTCGAGGCTTCCAGCTGCGCGCCACGACCCCCAGACTCTTGTCTTGCATCCTTTTCGGTTTGTTTTTAGCAAAAACCTTGTTTTCCATGCTTGGAGGGTGGAATGAGGGTTGGAGACTAGTTTCTCTCCCTGATTGGCTCGGTTTGTGGACGAAGCCTTGTTGACCTTTCCTGGAGGGACAGAGAGGGCTGTAGACCACTTTTTGTGGTCGTCGACTACTTTTCCCTCTTGTAGGCTAGTTTCCGATTTCCGGAGCCTTCGGCCGATTGCCTTGTCTTACTTCCCTTTTGGTTTGGTTTTGAACCAAACCTTGTTTTCTATTTCATGGAGGGAGAGAGGGGTCTTGCAGACCACTTTTTTGTGGTCGTAGACCACTTTTCCTTCTTGGAGACTAGTTTCTGTTTTCCAAAGCCTTCGGTCGCGCGCCTTGTCTCGGAACCGCTTACCGTTCTCCTTTTGGCCTGGTTTTCGAACCATGCCTTGTTGCCTTGCTCTAGAGGGAAACAGAGGTCTTGGAGACTACTTTTCTGGTCGTAGACCACTTTTCCCTCACAGACCACTTTTGGTGCCTGTAGACTAGTTTTCGAGGCTTCCAGCTGCGCGCCACGACCCCCAGACTCTTGTCTTGCATCCTTTTCGGTTTGTTTTTAGCAAAAACCTTGTTTTCCATGCTTGGAGGGTGGAATGAGGGTTGGAGACTAGTTTCTCTCCCTGAAAACCACTTTTCTTCCATGCCAGCCAGCTTTCTAGTCGGCCAACTGGTCTTGGTGGCCTTTGGACCACCAAAAGTGGTCGGCAGCTATGCCACCACTTTACTTTCTTCGTGCAGACCACCTCTCCCCCCCTGCTAACCACTTGGTCTTCTTGCAGACCACTTTAAGTCGTCGGCCAACCAGTGTAAGTAGCTGGCCGACCACTTCAACTTGTCGGCAGCTTTCCTGCATCTTTTTGAAGATATTTTCTTGCCAGCTGTGACAGTTGGTGAGCCCAGAAACCATTCTCCATACACGTGTATGGAGGGATTACGTCTAGCTTCAAGCTTGTTCAACAAGCTTGAGGCTTGTTTTTCTATAAAAGGGAGGCCCTCTCTCCCTTCTCCAGGTTCAGAAAAAGGTGCTTTGAGCTATACATATCATTTATCTATATTTCTTCCTTTCTCTCTTATTTTGTGCTTAAAAGTCCCTTTTCTTCTTACTTTTGCACACAAACACATAGTGAAACACCATACTCTTGGAGCTGAGGCACTTAGAAGCTGGTTTTGGTGTTTTTGGATTGATTTTAGCTCAAAAAGGTTGTTGGAGTTGCAGCCTTGAAGTTGTTCTACAAGGGTAATGTTTCTAACCCTTGAACCTTGGTTTTTTATTTAAGCTTTTTGGCCCTTTTGCATGCTTGATTTAGGCCTAAACTTTATACTACAAAAAGTTCTGATTCAAGTGTTTGAAATTTTTGTTAAGGGCTGTGGGTTGGGGGTAGTCCTACCCCCCTCTTGTGCCTTGTTTGGCCTTGTTTTGTGCTATCCTTTTAAGCTATTTGGGACCACCCTTTTGGGTCTTCTCACCACTGGAAATCAGGATTTCAGTGGTGGAAAGTGTGTTTAGAGGTGCCATAGGAGGGGTTCATCCCCTCTCGTTGTATCTTGAATGCCTTGTCTATTAGCATCATGTTGAGCAGGTTTCTAGCATGGTTGGCTTTCTCTCAACTTGTTTTTTGGTGTTATTTTGACATGGCATACCTCTGTTTTAGCTTGGTTGAGTCGCCACTTGCATGCATTCTACACTTTTAGTGTAATCTTGCATGCTAGCCTAACATGCATCATGCTTTTTGGACCATCATTCTAGCATGTTTTTGGCTCAACTCTAAGAAGATTTTGTTCATGTTTTACCATGCTTAAGCTCTGATTAAGTGCTTTGGGCCATGCATGCCTTGCTTTGTATAGCTATAGTTCATTCATGGCTACTAGCTTTGTGTTTTGAGTCCACTAGCATGCATTGCTTGGGCTATTTGCATGATTTGGCATCATTTGGTATGTGATTTCAGTGCATGTAGTGTGGTCATGCCCTCACATTTTTCACTCATTCAATGCATTGGAGGGTTTGTGCTTTATGCTTTAAATATGAGCCCATGTGCATGCCATCTTGCCTAGGCTTTTGGGCCACCATTTCAGTGTGTATTTGGTCCTATTTTTCCATGATACAACTTTGATTTTTGTTGGTTAAGTCATCTCATGATTGGTCTTGGTATGTGTAGTGCAATCCTCCTTGTTGGCCTTGCATGTTTGTTGTTTTGGCTACACTCCGTGCATGTTTTAGCCTTGATTTGACATGCTCTAGGACTGTTTTGGGTTGCATTGGTCATATGCTTCATGTATTGCATAGCCATAGTGCAAGTGCCTATGTTAGTTTCAAGCTTTGAGTCTCCTAGCATGCTTCATTTGTGACATGTACATGATTTGGCATCATTTACCATGTTATTTAAGAGCATATAGTATTGCCATGCTCCCACTTCTTTCACTCTTTGAGTGCCTTAAGGGTTGTGCATTGTTGCCTTGTTTGTGGCCTAGCTCGTATGCATGCATGCCTAGACTTTCTAGCTCCCATCTTAGCATGTCTTGGTCTTTGTCTTGACCTATTTGAGCTCTGTTTGTGGCTAGTTAATTCATTTGTGCCATGCATTGCATGCCTCTTGCGTAGTCCCTTTTGGTAGCCTTGTGTTTAAGGGCTCTTGCATGCCATAATTATGTTGTTTGAGTGGTTTGGCACCATTTCATACATGATTTCAGAGCTTATAGTGTTGTCACACCTATAGTCAGCCACTTTTTGAATGGGTTGCTGAGAATTTGAAAAATAAAATTGAGTTTTTTGGTAAAAAAATGATATACTATTTTCATTGTTGCCCTTTGGCAGTTATGGAAAGATTGAAACAAATTTGTTTTTGAAAGCCAAATTGCCCCTATTCAAATCAGTCTTAAGAACATGAGAAATTATGTCCATGAGATTGATGAGGCCTTCCAATCTATCCTCCACCCGAATCCCTCTCATCCTAGACTAATCAAATGGTTTTGTCCACCTGTAGGAAAGCTGAAATTAAATGTTGATGGCTGCTCAAAAAGAATGCAAAATAGGTTCAACACTACTAAGAAATGCAAAATAGGTTCAACACTAATCAGTCATACTTTAGGTTCAACATCAGGAAAATAGGTTCAACAGCAACAATAACACTAAATCGGGTTTTCAGTAGGCTAACCCTTAACCTCAACTGCGTGTGATTGTGAATATTACATTATGTAATAGAGATACCTGCATAGGAGAACCCAACAACTCATCATCTTGACTATCATGATCTCCTACAGACTTCCTGACTTGTTGACGTCCACTAGAGGCATTTGGAAGCTATATAACCAACACCAATACCATTTTATTAAATATGATACATAGAAATAAAAGAAAAGAAAACAAAAGAAAAGAAAAGAAAAACAAACAAATTGCCCAAGTTATTCAGTTAGTCATTTTTACTCCACCTGTATACCACTTGGGCCACCTTGGGACCTTATGAAGTCCATCCAAGCTCTAATTTGCTCGAACTCTACCTTCAACTTCTCAGTGACCCTTTGCTCAATCTCAACCGTCAGCCTTTGCTCGATCTCTTCAGTAACTGTTTGGCGTACTTGTTGAGTGATCTCCTCAACAGTCGATGATGAGGATGCTTGTGATGGACTGACATCTTTTTTGTACACTGCACTTCGAGGCACACCTATCCCATAAGTCTTGCAATATCCGTGTCCATCCTTTCCTACTAGGTTATGGAAAATCTTATCTTGTACCTCTTCTGTCCTGAGGGGCTCGTCTATCATTGAGAGTTGCTCATTATACTCATCCTAATATTTAAAGATATTAGTATACAAATAGCACAGTTAAAAAAAATATTAAACCAATATGCAAAGGCCCATACCAAAAATAATTTCACATCTAGATCAGTTATCATGTGTGTCTTCATGAAGACACTCATTTTGTTAATGCTCTCTCCATCAGTCATCATCTAAAATTGCCAAACAGATAAGAGTTAGCATTTAGTTAATTTTTATATAATTGTTAATACAAATCATTACCTTATGTCGTACATCGGCAAAGGGTGTTCTCCCGGTCCTATGCACTGGACCACGCAGCTCTCGATTTTTAGAATTGCGACTAGCAATCTTCTGTAAAAGTAAAGCATTCACATTTTACAAAAACTATTAATTAAATGTCATATAAGAGATACATGAATATATTTGTATACCATTGCATCTTTACTACTCCAATACTCCACCATCACCCTCCATTGTTCTGGCAAAATGTCCAAAGGCACTTTTTCATTGATATTTGGATCATCTTTAAAAGGCTTGTAGTGATTGGTCTTAGTCTTATGTTTGTGATCCTTCCATAATTTGTTACATGAGTCTATGACCACTTGCTTCAACCCTTCTGGAGCATATAACAAGTTATCCTGCACAACACAAGGTAATGGAAATAAGATTAGCAAACATTATAATTAATATAGTGGAAATAAAGTAACAAACATTATAAATGTATAAGACATTTGAAATAAAATTATTAAGCATTATAAACAAGACAAATGGGATGTACAAACAAATAAATTTATACCTGAACCTCCTTCCAAATGCCTTCCACAATATCTTCAGGTACTGAGCCCCAACTAAGATAAGTTAGAGGAACTCGGTGTGGATTGTGCACAATCTGACCCAACTGCCCCTTAAACGACCGTCCTAGTTTATTAAGTGGCTGAAACATGGCATTGAACTCTACATTTAGCTTTGCTCCTGTACCCCATTCCTTGATTCCCTTAGCTCGACCACGACCATGCCTCCACGAAGAAGGACCTGAAATAAAAAATTTATTTTAAAAAAAAAATTTAATACAGAACATATCATAAGACAAAAAATATATACCGGAGTCACGTGACTCTAATACAACAGTGGGTACCAGTGATGGTTGACTTCCTTGCGATTGTAGCACCAATGATGGTGTCACATCTCTTGGTCAACACGTAGTCGTATGTGATGATCGAGAGGTTTCAATGCCATCTGAATCATATTCATGCATCTGTAATAATGCCTCACCCATAGTAGCAACAACATATTTTCTTTTTTCCATAATTACCTGAAATTATATATTTTTGTCCGGTAAGTAAGTTATAAAATGAGACAAGAAAATATACAGATGTACAAAAGGCATACCTCAGGAAACCTAACAAACTAGAAAACAAATAAAAGCAAAACAGCACCTGTAATGGCAAAACAACACAGCAAAACCAGCAGAGCTACAGTAGTCCACCTAGCGAACCAGAACTCATATATTGATAATACAATATACAAGTACATATAAAGAAACATAAACTAATAGATTCTCAAGTTGTAATGCATTACTAATTGGATTGATAATAGAAATAATTAATACAAAAAAAGAGTACTTTCAAATCATCATACAACTACAAAAATTCATTACACATCAAATGTCTCTCCTTCTGTTCCTTCCCTCACCCAGCCCACTTCTTCATCCCGGAGCATAACATTTTCTTCCAATTGTTGATCCATATAAGGCTCAGCTTGAGGATCATTAGATTGCATACCAAATAATCCTCTTTGAGACATCTTCACAACAACATTCCAATCTGGTTCCAAAGGGTCTGGGACATACCAAACTTGCTCTGCTTGGGATGCCAAGATGAAAGGCTCATGATTTTGATGGTCATCTCGATATAACAAGTGCTTAAAGTTGACCAACTTGAATTTAAAGACATCTTCTTTCATCCCGCGAATATTGTCAATCCAATCACACTTAAACAACACATATTTTGTGTCATTACTGTACCGGACTT